TTCCGCTCCGTACACGCAATACCCAGTTACAACAATTGTTGAAACCATCAGTCTTCGGTTCCTGCTCCGCTTCGAATGCTGATGGCAAATGGGTATGAAAATTTATTTCCCCAAACAGTTAGGCAACGACAGCAGGAAGCACACTCACACGCACGTGAAGAATGGAGCGAAGTAAGCGAGCAAGATGTATAGTGTCCACTCTGGGCGAACGAGAACCCTTTCCTCTTCCACTCCGGTACCACACCTATCATCCCCGACAGTGCAGCAACCGAACAAAATAGAGACGCGGACGCACTCACGAACCCCTCCCGGGGTTGAAACTGTGGCGCCAACGTTTACAAATGGATTGTCCATCGAAGCGCGTTGTTAAGAGAACAATAAAAAAGCGGTTTGTACCTCGATGATTAATGAGCTTGTGAGAAGAAAACCCATACACGGACGAATGGTCGTTTAGCGGCGGCGATAGCACGTAACCGTAACAAATGACCAAACTTCGCCCGACCAGCACGAATTGTTCAATTGTCGCTACGATACCACACACTGTTCGGTGCTATTTTATTTTCGTGGGCCGAGTGTTTGTTTTCGTTTTTTGAGGTTACTTGTATATTCATTTTTTCGATCTTCAGATTCTTGTGTTGGAATGTGCATATATAAACATGCAAGAAGGTTAGGAGATAGCATACTTGGAATTGTCAGTTAGAGTTCGGCATCTACTGAGCACATACTTTATTGGGTATCCTAGAGCACCGTGAGTACAGCCTAGATTCAGGGACCAAACAAAACAAATGAGTAGTTTTAGCCAACTAATCAGTTGGCCCCAACGAAGGCACGTTAAGGACCCTTCTGACTTGGGTCTTCATATGCCTGATAAGTGCCACGTAAATGTGGTTGTGTTTGGACTTGGATTCTCAACAGAAATTCAAAAACTGGCTTATTGGGAGTTGAGGTATGATTTGAGTCTGCAGCTGCACCGATTTGACTTTCTTTCACGGATCCATCCATTCGATTCACGCAAAAGTGCAAGTTGTCACATGACACAGTAGATTTAGCAGCACGTTAGAATGTGGTGAAATTTTGGTGACTGTTATTTTTTTAAACGTTCTAACTCAGTGATTTTCACGCAGATCGTTCCAAAATGCGTTGCGCTTCCAAAAAAGCAGTGGTGTTTAAAAGTATCGTACTCTCACCAACGAAACTGCGCACCCTCCACGTGTCACATTTTGTATTTGCACAGACCTGCAGTCTAAACTTAGATTACTGAGAGCTGTGTTAATTGGTCACTACACTTAAAACAGGGCAGTAAGGTTATCGCTGACAGGTAATTTGCAAGGGTGACTTTGGTGTAACTAGCATTAGGACTGTTCTGGAAGTACGTTGAGAAACGAGTAGCTGCTGAACTCAGGTAGAAGTTTACTGTTCATCACTACCCCACCTGTATTTTGAACTAGACATATATGTTGAATATTCTCAGTCAGTTTATCCGATGACTTTGTAAATTCGATGTCCGAAGTTAGGGAAACTAGACAAAATGCGAATCGCTCTATGCCAAGTTTGACTGCGTTTGGCAACAAAATGTCTGCTAGGTCACATGTGATCGGAAAACAAATTACAAGCGTCTGCTCAGGTCGCCCTACACACTGCTTCGAAGGTGCATCAGTTCAGAGGATCACCTAGTCCACACGTGGAATGAAGGACTGAAAACACTGGAAAGATTGCGTCGACTGGATTGTCCGGTACGAAGCTGTGGGGCTATGGAGGTTTCGCAATGCTTCAGAAGAAGCTGTTTGAACAAAACATTGAACAACAGAAGATACTTCATGGCTTCATTCTTCAGCTACAAAGACTGCGTATGTGAACATATGTCACACACTCTTGAATTCTAATACGTATAGCCAACGGGACACAGAATTTACGAGATACACTCATTTACAAAATAATTTGGTCTTAACGGGAGACTTACCTGAATCTCTCGTTTGTGCTATTCTTCAAGGAGTTGTGCTTTACAAAGGCTGCCTCATGTCGCAGTTGGGAGGATAGTCGAGATACCGCACCACATTGCCTAACCAGAATATGCTACTCATAAAGTTGTTGTCGAAAAGTTTTAAAAAAAGCCTACTAGTTGTGCGTCCCGTCGGGACACATATTTAGCTCACAGGTCGACCCATTCCATCCCACGTGCAGAAAGTAACATTAGCATTGCCAAGATTAATGAACCTGGATGTGCTTGAACGTTTTTCCGAGGAAAAAGTGTCTTTCACTATTGAAAATGATAGGTCAGAAATTCAAAATAATAAATTAATTCTATATACTATCACGCATGGGTTGGTTGAATTGGCGGAACTAGGTTATATTTTAGCCTAGACCTTTTGGTATATCCAAATCAGTATCTTTTCGAGTTGGAGATTGCCTTCCCCACCCCCCGAAAATAGATAAGGTGTAAACCTACTGAAGGGATCAACAAATAGCAGTCTGCATAAGGTGAACCATTTTTATGACAGTTTCTCTCCTTTGCAGTGGTATCAGTAGAAACGATTTGTTATATTTAGCAACGTAAGCTCCCAGTAACCCTGGAAATCCTTACAAGTAGTCTCATTTTACAAAAGAAAAAACTGTTGCAAACCTCACACCTACAACTGATTTATTCTGTCTTTTTTCCCTCTAATTTATTGTCCTCTTCATCAGTATGGGGCCGAGTGGCACCGAAGATAAGAGATAAGAAAACACGATTAATCGATCTTCAGAAATTCACACTGCGTTGCTCAGTAAAATGTACTTTTCGGTAAGTTTTTTATGAATTAGTGATCCCATCTGACACTACTGTACATCCACTCGCTACGGATAAATAGCCCATAAGTTGTCTTCATAACCCCAATATTATGGATCATCCACGAAATTTCCTTAAGGTAGAAAGTTAGCTTTTCGGAAGAAAAAACCTAGTGTGGTGGTACCTGGCATTGTCCCCCCGGCTTACGCTAAGGATACCCATATTTCACTCTTCGCAAAGGAGAACCAAATATGCCTTGGCAGCAAACCTTCTACCCAGCAATTACCACAAGAACAATGATCAGTCTTCTGCTCTTTCTGGAGCCCACCAGTACCATACATGCTCTAGCTGAAGCACTGGATGGCCGGATTCTAAATTACTGCAAATCGAACCGCTCATTCTGTTAACTTTCAGTGGTACGACGACTGGGTTTGCATGGGGAGTACTTAATCACGTGCAATTCGTTCTCCCTTTCTTGATGAGACACAGTGGCTAGATTTTACTGCATCCTACATCTGGGTAGCGGTTCGTTCCTACAAGTTTGTCCCACAGTTACTTAGTGCTTTCGATCAGACCCTTCAGTTGCAAAAAAACACACCAACTTAACGGATTGAGGCTTGTAATTTTTAAGACATCTTTGCTTCATGATTCGAAAGTATGCACGCGCAAGCCAGTGAGATCAATCAAGGGTGAAACGGTTGTCTACGGTTCCCTTGGTTATGACTGGACAACAACTGGTAGAGACTGATTCCCTAACTCATTCAATTGATGGTAAACGCTTGCTAATATCGTACTTCACCTTCTGGTAGCTGTGTCAATGAGGCAGCGAAAATGTACTGTAATCTCACAGTAGTTTTCGTTTTCTAATATTAACGGATGTGCACTCAAATTCCAGTCAGGTAACCACACTAGAGGGGCTGAGAAGTGGCTAATTAAGTAGGATATCACAGTTCGTCAGGACTGTCATTCATCAAATTCTCCGGAGAATTCAAGGGTAGCGCGAATCAGTGGCACTCGCCCAATTAGTCGGTATCCTATGAGAAAAAGTTTGATGGCCTTCGTGGTAAAGGAAGAGGTGCACTGAAATACAAACCAAGTAATTATAGGACACGGAGATATTTCAGACCAGAGACCACGACGTATATGATAGCAGTACCTCCGTTTGTCATCTAAGACCTTACCTATTAATGAGGTCTTCATTCCCCGAGGATGGCTTAAATAGCATTTGTAGTTATTCCCAAAACATTATATTCGACGTGTACGGATTATGCTGGTCTCGGAAAAAAGTCCAAACCATACAGGATTACCATTAACGAAACGCAGTCTGGAATCACTTCACGGAGTTATCATTGTTAGATTTGTTTTAGGACGCTTGGAAAGGTTCTACTCTGGATAGAGGGATAAATCATTCAGTTGTGGCACCCTTCCGGTGCCTAATTTCTAGGCCACTCGAGGGAAGCATGAGGTCCGGGATACCGCCAGGTTGCCCAAGACCAGACAGGGGAAGTCGAGATGTAGAGCTCGGGTTCGAACCACGGACCTGCTGGTCAGTAAATTCGCGCTCTAACCACTGAGCCATCTCGCCATCCATCCTGATTCTTAAACAGTCACGACGCGTAACATTAAGGCACATCAGTGGACCGACCGTTTTTCAGCTTTGCATTTGTGTCATTTCCCTACGCTCATCACTTCAATCACGATAAGGTTTGACGCGATTTCACTAGCGAAGCCTCCGGCTTTCTAACCAATGAGGTGTCTTCTCAAAACAGTAATTGAGATGTTTGACTTATAGAGTGAAATGAATCAATTAGAAGTTGACCGTAAAATCAAAATGATTTGTTGTCGTTTCTTATTCAGTTTGATAAATATGTATTTGTGCCACGAACCTCCACTGGAATGACTGTGGGCAGATCCCTAAGTATTTCGAAAGAATGATAGAGAATTTGTCAATTGTCCTTTGAAACTTTATCACCACAATTTTAGAGAGCGGCTGCGTTACAGCTGGACATTTGTGGTGAGCGTCTGAAACTTCGTTAAGTTGTTCTAGAATGGAAAGAGGAGATATTCTTCAGTATCCAAGAGGAATTTCTGCAGCCAAAAGACAGATTTTGACGTCTTTCACAGAGTACTTACTGTTAAACTGCATTTATTGCTGACGTGGAAACCAGGATTGCCCGGCTCAGGATGAATTCGGCGCTTTCCTAATGTGGTTCTTTCTTGGTGATTCGGTAGACGCCACGTTATATACTCACTTGTCGGAAAGTTCATTTGCCTAGCTTCCCTTTGTTAGTGATTACTTGGCACCCGCATCCGAGGCTTAAAATCACCCCCTCCCAGATGTGGCCGAAAATCTCTCTTACGGGAAGAACGGATAAAAGCCCTAAAATTACTTTCGAACAGTAATGTGATCCCAAATTATATTCGGCTTTCAGGCAAGATTCTAGTGAGACTGACGTGTCCGTAGCCTACTCATGGGAATTTAACAGTAGAAAGAAGAAATTGTTCCGAAGGATGGTCGTGCGGTGGTCCCACCTCTAATGCTTATTTATGTCATACCATGTTCTTTTTGGTTGACAGTGATAAAATTCAATAGGATATCTGAGTAAAACGGCATTAACTTTGAAAAAAATTGGGTACTGGCTCAACACTGTAGGCAGCTGCACCAATGGCTTTGAAAGAGATAAGTGCATTGAAAAACCGATGCAAAGTTAGACAGACGTCAGGCAGATTGGGAATAGTCATCTTTCAGTGTGCAGATCCGTTTATTTTGGGTTCGTTATCACGTTATCACCACTGGTTACACGGAAATGTCTGAAGTCACCGTTCGAGAAAATTAAGACTCCGCTTCGATATTTTACAGAGGAGAATGTAAATTATACTCAGTACCCGGTTTTGGAATTATAATACATCAACATTTGTCCTATTAGATAATTCAGGATAGCTTCCATGCATTTACCAAACCAACAGTTCAAACACTTTTTCCTATACGTAGGTCTTGGTGAGTAGGTGTATCAATGCCGTCAAAAGATGGCGAGTTGAATTTATCTTAATTGAGTGCTCGCAACCTGAGCCGTCT